ACAGCATGTGAGATGCCCTGGGAAAATGGGCTGGAGCCCCAGACTGCAAGGAATGGGGAAGAGAGGGCCCAGCAGGGACCTGAGCAGTCATGAAAGACCAAGGGGCATATGAAGAAGAGCAAGTGGTCCAGACTGACAGCACTTTACACTAAGCAAAAGGGCTAGAACAGAAGGTCGGAGCTAGATCACAAGGGGTCTTATGTATCGGGCTAGTAAATCTGAAGTCGTTTTGTAGAAATTATGGTTTCGAGCCAGGGAACCAGATGAAGAGTAATGCTGCAGTAGCATGTACCGTGGACAGAAAAGGGAAGACTAGGTAGTCAGGAACTCTAGGCAGGTGAGGCTAGTGCCACACTGTAACTGGTAACACAGGCCCGAACCACCCATGGTGATGTCAGCAGGAATGGAGCAGAGAGCGCCAATCCAAAGATAAAAATCAACAGGGATTTGTCAAAGGTTTATTACATGTTGATTAGCTGTGCAGCACCAGAGGAGATCCTGGAGATCCAAAAATGAGAAAGATATATATAGACAGATTTATATAACTAAAAATATATACACATATATGTATATATACATGTGTGTCTATCTATATGTGTGTATATATACATATTTGTGTGTGTATAATATATTTATATATAAATATAAAATACACATATAAATATATGTATATATTTATGTATAAATTTATTTATAATTTTATATTTTATATTTATGTATAAATAAATAAATTTATACATAAATATATACATATATCTACATGTGTGTGTATTTTTTTAACCAAAAATGATCATGTAGGGGAAAAAGCAGACAAGAGTAAAGGGTGACATGCCAAGGTTTCAACCCTAGGGAAAAGCCCAGGAAGGAAATACCACCAAGAGCAGACAGGAACACAGATGAAGGAACCATCAGTAGAGAAGTCAATGTGCTCAATGTGTAGTTTGAGCCTCTAAGTACCAAAGGAAGTCCACACAGACAGCAGAACTTCCCAAGGGCAAGTGGAGGTGCAGAGAGAGGTCAGGAAAGGTCATGGAGGTGAAAAGTGTGTCATGAGACTTTATGAAACCATTAAGGACAAGTTCCCGGATGGGGAGGATTAAATGGAGAGAATGGGAGAATCAGGAAAAGCCAGTGGCAGGGAGCCTAAGGACGATTTCAGGAAAGGGGACAAATGACACCACCAAGAGGTTGTGTGGAGTAAGAAACTGGTTTCTGGGAAGCTAGCAGGTCCTCTGAGGGCAGGTTTTATGGAGAGTGAGCAGTCAGGAACAAAGGTCCTAGGTCAGTTCTTACAAAGTTTGCTGATCCAGCAAAGGAGGGAAGCTTCAGGAACAGAAGATAGAAAAGGTCCTTTTCTTTTGTCACTGCTTTTGGTCCTTTTTCTCTTTCCTTTAGAAATGGAGAAAGTCGGGGGTGCCTGGGTGGCTTGGTCGGTTAAGCGTCCGACTTTCGCTCAGGTCACGATCTCGCTGTTGGTGGGTTCGAGCCCCGTGTCAGGCTCTGTGCTGACTGCCAGCTCGGAGCCTGCAGCCTGTTTCAGTCTGTGACTCCCTCTCTCTCTGACCCTCCCCTGCTCACGCTGTCTCTCTCTCTCTCTCCTAGAAAGAAAAAAAAAATATATATATATATATATATAAAAATTAAAAAAAAAAAGAAATGGAGGAAGTCGGGGCCTGTGGGTGGCTCAGTTAAGCGTCAGACTCTTGATTTTGGCTCCATCCCTCTTTCTCTCTCTCTCTCTCTCTCTCTCTCAAAGGAAATAAATAAAGTAAAAAAAAAAAGAACACAGGAAGTCAATACAGTTATTCACTGTGAGAAAAAAAAGTGAATGAGAAAATATTAGAGTAAGAGAGAGAAAAGGGATAAATGATGAGGCACAAAGGGTTGGCATTAGGATTATAAACGAAAGGCTTAGCCCTGGAGAGGAAGAGGAATAATTGTTCCTAGGATAAAAGAAGGCGAAGTCAGCATGTTTTTAGTACAAGAGTGCTCACACACAGCCTGACGTTTTCAGGGAAGTATGAAGCAAGAGCTGTAGTGCAGACATCGGGTTTAGAGCTCATTTACCGGGGAACAGATCAGAATAGGTGCTATGGAAACTAGTCCACAAGAGAAATTACAAAATCTTCTCAAATTCCAAGAGGTTTCGAAGAATAGAGGTACACCTGTACCCTGAACTTCCAACTGGAGTAAAACAGAGAAAAGAAATACTAAGAGAAGTGGCTCAAAGAAATACTGATGTTAAAAAAAATCTTAAGAAACTAAGAAAGGAAAAAAGAAAGCATTCAAATGCTCCTTAGGCATTTCAGATTTTTAAGTCACAGGCAGGTACTACTTATCCAAAACTATATGGACACTTTTAATTGTAAAAAGACATTTTTTTAAGTTTGTTTATTTATTTTGAGACAGAGAGAGAGCAGGGGAGGGGCAGAGAGACAGAGGAGAGAGAAAATCCCAAGCAGGCTCCACGCTGTCAGAATGGAGCCCGAAGTGGAGTTCAAACTCACACACCATGAGATCACGACCAGAATTGAAATCAAGAGCTGAACCACCTGAGCCACCCAGAAACCCCTAAAAAGACCTGTTTTTTAAAGCACTTCAAGCTTTAGGTTCCACAGGAGAAGAGATCCTACCCGGTTTTATTCACCAACGCAACGCCTGGGTTACGGTAGGTCCGCCATAAATATTTGTTACATGTTGATTATTTACAAGCTACACAAATGGAAAAGACAGGGAAAAGAATAAGCATGTGAGCTGACACGTCTATAGTGGGTTGAATGATGCCCCTCTCTGCCCAAAATATGTCCACACCTGAATCTCTAGAACCCTTGATTATGACCTTATGTGAAAAGAGTCTCTGAAGATGTAATTAAGGTAAGGGACTTGAGATAAGATCATTGTGGATGACAGGGGTGGGCCCTAAATCCAATGACAAGTGTCCCTATAAGAGAAAGAAGAGATGACACAGACACACAGGGGAGAAGGTCAACAAGCCAGAGATCAGAGTCATACAGCCACCAGCCCAAGGAACAACTGGAGCCACCAGACGCTGGCAGAGGCGAAGGACAGGATCTGCCTTACAGCCTTCTGAGAGAGCCCAGTGCAGCTGCCACCTTGATTTCAGATCTCAGGCCTCCAGAACTTGAGAGAACAAATTTTGTTATTTTGAGCCACCCAGTTTGTGGGAATTTGTTATGGCAGCCCTAGGAAACTAACACAAGGTTAAGGTTAGTACAACTATACAAATTATAATACCGGATTAGAGGGGCTAATGTCCCCTACAAAATAAAACATCACGATAAGAATTTCATACTGTGTAGGGGCGCCTGGGTGGCTCAGTCGGTTGAGCTCAGGTCATGATCTCATGGTTCGTGAGTTCGAGCCCCACATCAGGCTCTGTGCTGACAGGTCAGTGCCTGGAGCCTGCTTCAGATTTTTTGTCTCCCTCTCTCTCCACCCCTCCCCTACTCAGGCTCTGTTACCCTGTGTCTCAAAAATAAATAAACATTAAAAAAAATTTTTTTTAAAGAATTTCATACTGTGTAATAGAAGGCACCCCTGTGCACAAGTGAGCAAAGCTAAAGTTTCTATTTAGGTATATGAAGCACAGAGAGGCAAGGCCAGTGCATAATAATAAAATATATAATAAATGCCAACAACATACTGTATCGATAGAAAATAAAGATGAGATACAATAACTGTTAAGAAAAGGCTAATTCATTGGAATATTACTAAAAACACTACAAACTTAAGAAATCTAGGAATAAGGGGCGCCTGGGTGGCTTAGTCGGTTAAGCGTCCGACTTTCGCTTAGGTCATGATCTCGCGGTTCGTGGGTTCGAGCCTCGCGTCGGGCTCTGTGCTGACTGCCAGCTCAGAGCCTGGAGCCTGTTTCAGTCTGTGACTCCCTCTCTCTCTGACCCTCCCCTGCTCACGCTGTCTCTCTCTCTCTCTCTCCTAGAAATAAATAAAAAAATAAAAAATCAATATTCTTAAAAAAAAAAAAGAAATCTAGGAATAAAACATAAACAGAGCACAAGCTTTGGTATTATGAAGTACTTCAAACATGCCAACAAGATTAAAGATTACAGAATAATAAATTCTTTAACTTTTATGTTAATCTTTTAACCTAATACCCAGTCTTGACAAATCTTGACATTTGGCCAAATTTACTTCAGATTTCTTTAAAGAAATAAAATATTTCAGATATAGTTGAAGCCTCCTGCCTGCCCCGTCTCCTCAAAGGTATTCACTGTCCTAAAGCTGAGTGTATGATTCCCATGTACGTGTTTAAGCCAAATAGATTTTTTTTAATGTATTTAACATTTTCATGCAAAGCAAGTGACTATGCATTTATTCTACTATTATTTTTACTCATCTTATTTTTTGAGACTATTTATGTTGATGCATGCAACTCTGGTTCATTCATTTTAACAACTACAAATGGTATTATTCATCTCCCAATAACGGTCATCCCAAAAATGGTTAACTTTTGCTAGGACAATGGTACAACAATCTTCCTTGCTCATGTCTCCTTATTCAGACACCAGAGTGTCTCAAAGCATAGTCCTAAGAAAGCAATTACTGAGGCGCCTGGGTGGCTCAGTTGGTTGAGTGTCCAACTTCGGCTCAGGTCATGATCTCACAGTTTGCGGGTTCGAGCCTTGTGTGAGGCTCTGTGATGACAGCTCAGAATCTGGAGTCTGCTTCAGATTCTGTGTCTCCCTCTCTCTCTGCCCCTCCCCTGCTCGTGCTGTCTGTCTCTCAAAAATAAATAAATGTAAAAAATTTTTTTAAAAAAAGCAATTACTCAGTGTCCTTTCTTTAAAAAAAACTCTTTTCCCTTAGTGAACAGTCTTTGTTAAAGCATAAAAGTATGCCCAAAAGAATAATCTAACCTAAAGGCAACTTCTGCGAGGGAAAAAAATCCAAATTCTGTATTAAATTCCGGCAAAGGCATCTGGAGCAAAAAGCAATACCTTTCATTAATGAGAAGTTACCTGTGCAATATTTTGAGAAGACATAATTGCCTGATTATAGAATATACGGCCAAAGTCATCTCGATCTGGAAATATCTCTGCTTGCCGAGGTAAGTTTGCACCTCCTGAATCAACTGAAGACAAGGGAAAGAACAGAAATAAGTATATCTGAATGAACAAAACAAGCTGTACACCGGAAGACTTGTACCGCTGACAGCAACAGTTCTTAATCACATTCACGAAGCATGTGCCCTATCGCCATTCCAAACTATTCAACAGCATCATTCTCCAGTCCCCCAAAGCAGCCAAAAAATTCACTGTTTTCATCAAATCCATTAGGCTCCCCTCCCTGCACAAAATTCCACTTGAAATATTTAGGGCATTCTCTCCTTTGAGGACCAGCTAAAGCCCCAGAAACACCACAAATTCTTCACCAGTTCAGCAAAAAAAAAAAAAAGTATCTTTCCTTCTTTTAAACCAATACAAAACCATCTACAGAATTCATGTGATAAGGTGCCACATGCTGCCTCTGGGACTGTTTTTTACTTCAGAGTAGAGTCGGGGGTAAGAAGGTCAGCTGAATTTGGAAGAGAGCTTGGTTACTTCACATCTGTGTGGCCATTCCATGCTTTGTTCTTCTAACCTGGGAAATCAAAGTAACAATGGTAGCTCCCCCAGGAAGCTTTTCTTGGGATGACATGAAATAACGTTTATAAAGCACTTAGTTCAGCACAGGGTGAGTGCTAATAGCAATGTTATGAAAGGTTAGCTCATCCTCTGCCCACTACTCTTGCCTACAACCATTATGTCTTTCATTGTGATTTAACACATGGCATCCTGTCCCCAATGCGTTTCAGCTCGCCCAAGACGGGGACCACATAATACTCTTCACTCCATTTCCTACAGTGCTTGGCACAGCATCTGCTAACAGTAGGGCTTCATTTGCTGTTTTCCGTATGTGCGAAAACAGTTCGCACTGTGAGTCAACCAGGTAAATTCACTTTTGCAGAAAAAAAAAATCTCTAAGCCAGTACCTGTTCAAACACTCTCAAAAACATATACATATATATACATATACTGGTATTTCACCAAACGAAGCCATTATCTAGGCAGTGCCAATCTTAAACTGCCTTGCTTTTATGTTCCTTTTGAAGTATCCTTAGATTTAAGTGTATTTTCATTTCAAATATAAATCTACTTTCATTAATTAAATTTCTTAAATTTCATTTGCTGAAAATTATATACATACTCAAGCATTTAGATTAGTACCTAGCACTCAAGGGATCCATAAATATTAACTATTATTTTCTCACACTTTGAACTCATTAAGGGTAAGACAAAAAGAAACTATCTAGAAGGAAAAAAATCCATACACGTAGAGAACAAACTGGCAGATGTGAAAATACTGTGAGAGGTTATTCCTCAATGATGTTATTATGGGTAGTTCTTGTTCACGTTTTCTTCCTGAGTCTTCAGCAAAGAACATGCATTTCTTTTGTAATTATGGGAGAAACCAACAGCTTTTAAAAATACCCAATGATGGGGGTATGTGGGTGGCTCAGTCAGTAAAGCCTGACTTCAGCTCAGGTCATGATCTCCTGGCTTGGGGTTCAAGCCCCACATTGGACTCTGCTGTCAGCACACAGACCACTTCAGATCCAATGTCCCCACCCCCCTTGCCTCCCCCACACTCTTTCTGTCAAAAAAACCAAAAAATAAAAAACAATGATGCCATCAAATAAAGCCTTCTAAACAGTCTTGCATTTTACCACCTAAGAATCATTCATTTTACAACTGTTGTGACTTGCCCAGGTAGATGCAGGGGAGCCTGTTCTGCATTGCAATTTCTTGTGCCCGCAAATGTTTCTTCACTGTCACGGGATAGTAAGTACCTCCTTTGATGGTGGCATCATTGGCAACAATTATACATTCTACTCTGAAAGATAGAAATTTCGTTACAAAGAGTATTATGAGAGACTTCTTCAAAGTTAAAAGGCCAAGTACATTTCATTATAAGACACTCCAATGCAACCTTCAACTTCTAGTACATATCACTAATGACAGTCATTAGCAGACAATCTCATGATACGAAAGCAAGCTTTAATCATAGGCCACATGCTCACTTATATAATATAAAATCATCACTTTTAACAAGTTTACAAACTCATACTTGATGTTTAAAGAGTTATTGGTCCTGTATTAGCAGTGAAAAACTAACAACCTCAGCCATATTTCATAATGGTATTTTCAATGAAATGATCCTAGCAAGGTAATAATAATACACACACACACACCCCTAATGGTTTTTTCAGTGAAATTATCCTAGCAAGATAATAATACACACACACACACACACACACACACACACACACACACACACCAATGGTTTTTTCGATGAAATGATCCTAGCAAGATAATAATACACACACACACACACACACACACAAAGACCTAAGTCTCAATGGTGAGAAAATCGCTCTTAATAAACTGCCAAATTTCCTGTTAGGATGGTAATTTGCAAAGAAAGAAAACTGACCTATTAGGAGAACTTATTTTCCATATTTTCAAAAGTTCTTAAATATTCCTACCACATGCTTCCTCTATTAAACTAAAAGAAGTTTAAAATACAATATCTATCTTACTTAAAGTAACAACAGATACAAACTATAAAATAGCATATTGAGGATGCCTGGGTGGCTCAGTCAAGTTAAGCGTCTAACTCTTGATTTCTGCTCGGGACATGATCTCAGTTTGTGAATTTGAGCCCCGTGTCAGGCTCTGCACGGACAGTGTGGAAGCTGCATGGGATTCTCTCTCTCAAAATAACTTTTAAAAACCACACTTTAAAAAAATAAAATAGTGTATTGAAAACATGTTAAAATGCATCATCAATGGTGCCCTTTCTCACCAGAACCAGTTGGTTGAGTGCCACGCCCACAAGGAACACACAAAAAGCAGGGGGCTGAGTGCAAGACCACCAGTAAGGAAAACTGCTCAACTCCGACGGAAAACCGGAAGAAACTTGGGTGAAATACAGTGTGTTCTTTACAAAATATAATCTTGTTCGTATTTCTGGTATTTGTATTTATTTTAAGATTTTGGGTTTTTTATTTTAAAAAATTTTTTATATCTTTATTTTATTTTGAGAGACAGAGACAGAGAGCAAGTGGGGGAGGGACAGAGAGAGAGGGAGACACAGAATCTGAAGCAGGCTCCAGCCTCTGAGCTGTCAGCGCAGAGCCCAATGCAGGGCTTGAATCCACGAACCATGAGATCATGACCTGAGCCAAAGTCGGACACTTAACCAACTGAGCCACCCAGGCACCCACGATTTTATTTTCAAGTAATCTCTATGCACAACATGGGGCTTGCACTTACAACCCCAAATACAAGAGTTACATGCCCCACCAACTGAGCCAGCCAGGTGCTCCTATTTATGATATGCTTTAAAATCTCACTTATATTCTCTAGAATTCTAAAAAGTGAGTCAGTCACTGGATCCCTGTTGAAAATAAAGTAGAGAACAGCAACTGAACAGCAGTCTCAGCTAGCACTGGACTCCTCGCATTAGGGTATGTGGACAGCAATGCTCCCCACAAGATAAAAGGGTTCCCCTCCTTAGAGCATCTATTTTATTGATACAAATTCTTTATCCACATTGCAGTTAGCATTTTAGAGTGGAATGCCAATTTTTCAAGGCTTTAGTAAACAACTTAGATTTCAAAGGGAAAGTATGCTTATGGAAGGTTGCTGGGGCTATCATCTCAAACCTCCAGCATGCACTGTACTGCCTGCCCCGGGGGTGCTACCCTTCAAAAGCTTATGAAGCCGTGAGCCTGGAAATGGGCCAGACAATGGAGTCAAACAAGCTATGGTGAAATGTTGGCTCTGCTGCTTGCTAGGCATGTGACCTTGAACAAGAGACAGAGCCACTCTCACTTGTTTATTAAAAGGTCACAGGGGCACCTGGACGGCTGTTGGGTTGAGTGTCCAACTCTAGATGTCGGGTCAGGTCATGATCTCAGAGTCATGGAATGGGGCCCCACATCATGCTTTGCACTGAGCATGGAGCCTGCTTGAGATTCTCGCTCCCTCCTTCTGCCCCTCTCCTGCTCATGTGTGCATGCCATGCGTGCTCTTTCTCTTTCTCAAACAAACAACAACAACAACAACAAAAAACAAAAAAGGTCACAGACATGCTACAGAGTAAAAATAAAATTAGTCCACAAAAAGACTGCATTGTACATCTTCTGGTTTTGCATACTCACAATCTATTATTTTGGCAGCAGAACTAAACTTTCTTTCAGACACTGCCTCTTACCTAATCCATGTGGTTCAAGTGAGACTGGCCCTCAAAACCTATCTTCAAAGGTATACAAAAGAACTAGCCCTTTCTACCCCAAGTCCACACTGTGGCTCAGCAATGGGCATGAGCCCCATTTACTCCTGAATGACCTCAACAAAGTTACTTGACTTTCATCTACCTCAGTTTTCTCACCTGTATGATAAAAAAAAATTTTAAATAGGGATAAGAGTAATATCTATTTCATAAGAATAATATGCATACTTATCCCTACACTGAGCTAACTATGAACCTGGGTGGCTCAGTCAGTTAAGAGTCTGACTTTGGCTCAGGTCATGATCTCTTGGTTAGGGAGTTCGAGCCCCACATCGGGCTCTGTGCTGACAGCTCAGAGACTGGAGCCTGCTTCAGATTCTGTGTCTCCCTCTCTCTCTGACTCTCCCCTGATTGTTCTCTTTCTCTTTCTTTCTCTCTCTCTCTCTCTCTTTCTCTCAAGTATAAACATCCTTGGCCCGTGTCATCACAGAGAGGAGTCTCATGGGGTAAAATGCATATGCTCAGTATGAAACCTTGGTTACTGATGTGCATAGAGAACAATTTGAAAGTTGATGCCTGTGAGGAGATTTCTGATTACAGGGTTTAAATGTGCAATGGAATTAAACCAGGCTGTGTTCTGGTCCTGGATCAGGTAGGTCCTTTACCTACCTGAAATCACTGTGGAGTAAGGGAGAATCCCATACTCTGTCCCCAAATAAAGAAAACAAAAACAGAGCATCATCATGTAAGTATGATAATAATTTCACTATATCATTCTGGAAATAACCACAAGAGATAATCCGGCCTATAAAATAATTCCTGTAGTCCATTCATATATTCAACAACATTTTTTAAATGTATTCTATGTGCCATGTCCTTTCCTAGGAACTAAAGACACATAGTGAACAAGAAGGGCAAGATTCCTGACGTCACAGAGCTCCCATTCTAGTGGAGAGGATCAGTTAGGGGAAGCAAACACACAACAAATCTGTAAGATAATTTCTGATTGTGTGTGCTATGAAATTAATAAAACCAGGTAATTCTAGACACCAATTCTTTTTGGGTTTCCAGTCGCAATGGTGGGGGAGAGGAGAGGATTCACCCACACTCAGTATCAAACAATTCTCGGACACTCCGTGTGGGTAACGCTGGTGTCTGAGAACTCAACTCAGTTCTGACACTATCTGCTCTGAAACAGCAACCGACTCCACAGGCTAAGGGCTAGTCCTACAAGACTGCTCTCCACTCCTGACTTCAGATGTCAATCACAAGCTCAGGCTGTGACCCGTGCTTCCTGATCAGCCAGTTACAGACTATAGGTTCCAATGACCTCCACCTTAGGTTCTTTTAACTTGCTAGAGTGCTCACAGAACTCAGGTTAACACTTAAGTTTACCAGTTTATTAAAGGTATGATAAAGGACAAAATTAACACCCAGTGGAGAGATGCACAGGGCAAGGTATGGGGAGAGGACGGGGAGCTTCCACGCCCTCTCTACGTACACCACTCTGCCCCCCTCCACATGCTCACCAACCAGGAAGTCCCCAGTCCTCTTGGGTTTTATGTAGGCTTTACTGTGTAGTCACGACTGAGTAATTCAGTGGCCATTAGCTGGTTCGATCTCCAGCCCTTTTCCCTTCCCCAAAGGTGGGAACTTGGGGAACAGGTGAGGCAGAGAAGTTCCAACCCTCTAATCACACTTTCTGGACGACTAGGCCCTGCCCGTGTTGGGGCCCAAAAGCCACCTTCATTCATAGAACAAAAGGTACCATGACCACTCTCAACACTTGCAAGGATTTTTGGAGTTGAGAGCCAGGAACTATGGACAAAGACCAAATATGTATGAGAAACATATTTTGGTCATCTGATTGCCCAAATACATCCATCTACAAATCACACTATTACAGGAATACAATATATATTATTATTAGTTACTATAGGACATATAATAAAACAAAGTAAAATATATAATAAAAACAAAGTCATTGTGATGGGGCTATGTTAAGGTACAATGGTCAAGGAATGGTAAAAATAACAGTCCAGCCTGACATGGCACTTACAATGGACTAGGTGCTCTTTCAAGGCTTTAGGTATGTGAGATAGCCCACCTTACAGATGGGCAAACAGGCACAAAAACGTTAAGCAATTGGCCCAAGTGTACCAACCAACAAATTAAAACCAGCATTTGAGTCTCGGCAGTCTGATTCTAGAATGCGTGCTCCTAAGCACTGCTCCAGGGAAAATATGAATAGAGAGCAAAAGATGAGAAGTAGTCAGCCATCAAAAACCCAGGTGAAGAGCACTTCATTCAGAACAAACGGCCTGAGTAGAGGCCCTATATATATAGGAGTTTTGCATGTGTCATGGAACAGCAAGAGCAGATGGCCACAGTGAGAGAGGTACAAAAGTAAGCAGAGGAAAGCAGGCAGGGACTGCATCTTACAGGACCTTATAAGCCACGTAAAACGTGAATTTGCCAGAGAAAAGGACTCCAGCTCAACTATTCCTCAGCCAGTTGTTACTACTTTAGGCAAGGAATCCTTGATTCTAAGCTGGTTTATAAAGAAATTCCAGGGGCGCCTGGGTGGCTCAGTCGGTTAAGTGTCCGACTTCGGCTCAGGTCATGATCTCATGGTTCGTGGTTTCAATCCCTGCGTCGGGCTCTGCGCTGACAGCTCAGAGCCTGGAGCCTGCTTCAGATTCTGTGTCTCCCTCTCTCTCGGACCCTCCCCTGCTCACGCTGTCTCTGTCTCTCAAAAATAAATAAAACATTTAAAAATTTTTGAAAAAAAAAAAGAAATTCCATACAAGTCTTCTCATTAAATTCCTTGGGGTCTACTTCAGAACATATGTATCATGGAGGCTAGATCAAAGACCCAGCACTACTCAAAAATATATAAAAGAGTAATAAAGGTATAAAATTTTTGTAATGACCTTATGAATGGCTCTGGCTCTGAAAAGCTCCAGGCTGAAGCTCCCCATGACCCTGCTGTAGGGAAAAGAGCTTCAACTCTCGCATCTACACGAGTCTGTCTGCTCTCAGGGGCAGCAGTACCAGTGGTACCAGGTATCTCTTAAGGAATCGAGCTGTTTCTCTTTTCTTTCTTGTTTCTTTCTCTAGTCTCATGACAACCCTCTACAGTGGCTTATAGGATTATTCCAGTTTATAATGAATCATATTTTCCAGATGTGAAAACCAAGGCACTGAGTGGTCAAGCAATTTGCTAAAGGTCAAACAGCTACAAAATGCTAAAGCCAGATTCTAATGGAGGCTGACAAATCCTGAACCCACACAGCTCCTAAGTGCAATTCAATTTCCTTCCAAGCTGAGAACCTGATAAAGCGAGAACAAGGCGCAAAGAAAGAAAATGAAAAACATAAAAGCACAAATAATAAAATATTAGCATATGCACAGGAAAGGCGGAAGACCATGCTCTAACCTGACTGTCATTATGACTGGAAACATAATTAACAGTAACTGTCCTGGTTAAGTATTTCATGATTATGAATTTAGTTTAACTCTGCATTAAGTTTATCCTTTTATGAAAGGTTTACTTTTAAGAGTCCAAAAAGAAAAGTGTCTCCATACTGGGTAAATATTAAGCAGATTGTAACTGGCAAAGAGCAGTGGAGGAGTTCTGGGGGTACAGGGAAGTGAAGCAGCAACGGTGAATGGGTGTGGCTGTACGTCCTCGGAAGGCACGGGTCATGGGGAGAAGGCGGAAGAGCACACACACCATAAACCAGCATCTGAGTCAAATGCAACTGGATCGGGCTCAGAGGCCATCCACCAGAGGTCAAAGCTGGGCTTTGCCAGGGGCTTGATCTTGGGCCAGTCATCTATCCCACTGAGCAGGCTTCCTTACCTCCAGAAGTGATGCAGACGGTAATACCCATTCTCACAGAGCTGTGGTGATGATTAAAACAACTAACTAATCAGGGGCACCAGGGTGGCTCAGCCGGTTAAGCATCCAACTCTTGATTCTGGTTCAGGTCGTGATCACGGTCATGAGATAGAGCTCCGCATGGGGCTCCACACTGGGTGTGGAGTCTGTTTGGGATTCCCCCTCTCCCTGCCCCTCTGCACTTCCCTCACTCACGCATGTGTGCTCTCTCTCTCCCCCTCCCCCTGAAAATAAATAAATAAAATAAAACAATCAGTGGGAAGGGTTTACTACAATGCCTGGCGTGCTAACTTGAGATGGTAAATGTGAGACCATACATAAATATACGCAAGTAAATTTAAGTTCTAGCCAATCTACATTCCCTAAATCTAGAGTGGTTCTCAAATGTTAGCATTCCAGAACCTTGGAAGGCTTGTTAAATAACAGATTGCCAGTTCCCACCCTCAAAACTTAATTTTATTACTTCTTAGGAAGACCTAGTGATCTACATTTCTAACAAGTTCTCAGGGCATGCTGAAGAACACAATTAGAGAATGACTCCTCTAAGACAGTGGTTTTCACATCTCTGGTGAGATGTGCAAGAGATCACCTACAGAGCCTTGGAAAACGATACAAGCCAAGCACATACCTGCAGATTCTGATTATGTAGGAAGATTTGGATTCGAGTTCCAGAATTTGCGCTGGGGTTTTTTCCTCCCTTCAATCTTTGTCTCTAAAACTCCACAGATAAATCTAATACACGTTTGGGCAGGAAGCCTCAGCCCTACATAATATAAATAGCACAAAACTTACAAGTTCAGATGCAAAGCAGTGAATGCTGGAAGCCTGTGCCCGTCAATTATTTCCTGCCCCACATTATGGAGTCTAAGTAGAACACTCACCCTGATACTCTCCCAATGCCTGTAATAATGCCACCGGCAGGGACCTCCTCATTAGCATATAACTCGTAACCTGCAAACTGGGATAATTCCAGAAATGGAGACCTGCAGGGAAGAAAGGATTTGCTTGAATTAAAGTTATTTTTTAAAGATGCATATTTAAACAGTTCTATGTGGAAAAGATTTTAATGAGCCAATGTTTCAAGCATGCATGTTGAACATATATGAAATCTACAAAAAAGAAGAATACTAAACAAAACCTAGAGTGGATATTTTGAGGATTTCCACAGTATAGCCATGCAATAGAACACTAAGTACCTATTTTAAAAGATGTTGTACAAATGTGTTTATTAGTATAGAAAGAGAACAGCAACTAACGCTTATATAAGCCCCTACCTTGTGCCTGGCTCTCTTTTAGGAGCTTCAGAAACCTAACTCATTTGTTCCTCAGAACTACCTCCTGAGGTGGGTCCTATTATGATCCCCACTGACAGATGGGGAAACTAAAAAAAAAAAAAAAAAAAGAGAAAAGAAAAGAAACTGAGTCACTTTTCTGAGGTCACACAATTACTAAGTGGGAGAGCTGGGTTTTAATAAGCAATCTAACCCCAGGGACCAGGCTCCACACCATTGCAGCTATACTCTGCCTTTCACTTACTTAATTGTTCAAGACCCTGTGAGTGAGGGGGGAAAAGGGTGTTATAAAACACCGCATTTAGTATGATTCCATTTTTCTTTTCTTTTTTCCATTTTTCTTATTAAAAAATGTGTCTATTACACATATACAGAAGAAGAGCCTAGAATGATATACACTTGGTGTTACAGGGTTGTGTCTCCAGTTTGGGAGTTTGGGTCTATGTCATAAGAAATATTTTTGGGGGCGCCTGGGTGGCTCAGTCAGTTAAGGGTCTGACTCTTGGTTTAAGCTCAGGTCATGATCTCACAGTTTGAGTTAGAGCTCCACATTGTGCTCTGCACTGATAGTGCAGGGAGTGCTTGGGATTCTCTCCCTCTCTTGCCACCCCTCCCCTGCTTACTCTGTCTCTCTATAAAATAAATAAGTAAACTTTAAAAATTAAAAAAAAAAAAAAAAAGAGGAACTGAGTGGCTCAGTCAGTTAGGCATCTGACTTCTGTTCAGGTCATGATCTCCTGGTTCATGGGGTTGAGCCCCACCTTGGGCTCTACACTGACAGTACAGAGTCCGCTTGGGATTCTCTCTCCCTCTCTCTCTCTGTCCCTCTCCCACTTGTCTACTTCAAAATAAATAAAAATGAAACTTAAAAAAAATACTTTTAGAGTCCTCATTCCCTTCTCTCCACCTGCATCCCCTGCCCCCACTCCAATCCTTCAGGAAATCTCCTGGGTTAGCTCTGTCTTGACAACATGCCGAGAACCTGACATTCTCATCACTTCCACTACGACTACCCTAGTTCAAGTCACCATCACGTCGTCTTAGAGTCACTGCCATAGCCGCCTAACTCAGCCTCGCTGCCCATATTCTGCTCCCCAAACAGCAGCCAGAATGACTCTTTTCAGACGTATGTCACATAGATTGTAATAGTTTCAGGTTCAAAATCCCACAGAGCTTCCTCACTTCTCTCAGGATAAAAGCCAAAACTTTTGGGGCACCTGAGTGGCTCAGTTGGTTAGGACTCTGACTTTTGATTTTGGCTTGGGTCATGATCTCAAGGTTCCTCAGGTTGAGCCCCATGTTGAGCCCTGCGCTGACAGTACACAGCCTGCTTGGGATTCTCTCTCTCCCTCTCTCTACCCCTCCTCCTCTCACTCACTCTCTCAAAATAAACTTAAAAAAGAAAAAAAGCCCAAACTCTTACACTGACCTACAAGGTTTTATGGACTTGAACCCTATCTCCTACCACTCTCCCCTTCACTCTTTCTACCCCAAACACAATGGCATACTGGGTTCCCGAGCATATCAGCATACCTTGTACATTCCTACCTCAGGGCCTTTGCAATGGCCACTCCTTCTGCCTGTAACGCTCTCTCACCAGTATTTTCAGGTCTCTCTCTCTTCACGCCTTCAAATCTTTGCTCAGACCTCTCAATGAGGCCTACCCTAACCACCTTATTTAAAACTGCATCTTGACCTTCATCTTCTCCCTCACTCTGGTCTTTCTTTTTCCCATGACATTTATTACCTTCTAAGATACTATAGATCTTACACATGTATAATGTACTTTCTATCTCTTCCTGCTACAATGTAAACCCCAGTTGGGCAAGGATCTGTGTCGGTTTTGTTCACTCATGTATCACTAGTGCCTATAATAGTGCCTGACACTTAAGCAGCCTCTCAATAAACATTTGTTGTTGAATCTTAGAATAAGAATCAGAATTTTAAACCATTTGCCTATAAAAACTGTTTAAGAAAGTACCACAGATTATAGAACACTGAGTTAGCACTTGGGCTATACCAACCCTGGGTCTACAAGACTATCCACTCTTTCTCTGGCTAAAAGTTTTCCTCTTGCTATGTGGCGTTCTCGGGCTTTCTCACTGCCTCCTGCAATAAAAACATGATTAGATTAGTTTGGCACCATATAATGTCTCCAATTAATTTAAGGCCAGAAAAACATAAAACAGACCAAAACATAGCACTTTTAAAAGTTCAACGTATCTTTTGAGAAAGAGCTAATTTTCAGATCTTTTATTCAAACTCACAAGCTTTATTTACTGAAGTAAATAAACTGGCAATTTAAAAAAATCAGTCAACCTCTGATTTCACAGTATATCATACATTACCTGAATTCATCGGTAATTACTTAGAGAAATAACATGTATCTTCTCTGCATCTCATGCACTGCAAACACTGCCTCACCTACACCACATTTATTAAATATCTACCACAACTGCCAAGTGCTCTGCTACATATGATGTGAAATTGGAAAAAAGTCATAGCTTCATTTGCCCCAGGCGAAAAGCACTATTTTAGAAACGACCTCCATGATGAGCACAGCAAGACTTCCCTAAAGGTAAGTGACCCACAACTTTTTACACACTCTCCAAATGGAAGAGAGCTGCACACCTAATACAGTAATTACGAAGTCCACTTCCGTTAGCATCTTCACTCAGAGATGGTCTTCGGTGTTTCCTCAAGTTGCTCCAGTCCAAGAAAACAATAGTAGTCAGAGTCCACCGAGGGAAGCAGGTGAGGCTGCCTGACGTGAGCAGCACAGCAAGCCTCCCCCAGACTGATGGCTGCCGGGCTCGGTATCTCCGGAACATTGACAACCCACTCTCAGCAACCCAAGGTATCAGGCCAGAAACTGAAGGACCATAAAGTACCTCAAAAGGCTAATTTTCACTGTTGCCCACAACTTTCATCTTAATACACTCTTGGCCTGATGAAGTGCTCAACCAGCTAAAAAAGTTATTTCTTGGGGCGCCTGGGTGGCTCAGTTGGTTAATTGTCTGACTTCGGCGCAGGTCATGATTATCACGGTTCGTGGGTTTGAGCCCCGTGTCAGGCTCCGTGCTGTCAGCTAGCTCAGAACCTGGAGCCTGCTTCAGATTCTGTATCTCCCTCTCTCTCTGACCCTCCCCTGTTCATGATGTCCCCTCCCTCTCTCTCTATCAGAAATAAATAAAAAACATTAAAAATGATTTTTTAAGAACTTTTTTTTTTTTTCTAGGAGACAGAGAGAGAGACAGCGTGAGCAGGGGAGGGTCAGAGAGATAGGGAGTCACAGACTGAAACAGGCTCCAGGCTCTGAACTGGCAGTTAGCACAGAGCCCGACGCGGGGCTTGAACCCACGAACCGCGAGATCATGACCTAAGCGAAAGTCGGATGCTTAACCGACTAAGCCACCCAGGCGCCCCTAAAAATAATTTTTTAAAAAAAGTTTCTTTGGGGGCTTTTTAGAGGAGAAAACAAGTTGTGACCTACTTGATACAAGCTTCCAAGTGTTAACTTGTTTTTCAAACCAAACCTCTTTCCTCTATCCAAGGGAATTTTCTTTTTCTGAAGAGGCAGATGGCATATTTTTAAGATTAAATCTGCCTTAAAGTTACCAAGAAAATTATATCGCACATTTAACCTTCTTTTAAAGTGCAAATAATTCTGGGAGGCAAAGATTTAGTTCCAAAGTATTGTAATTAAGTCAAATTGCTATTCTGTTTCTCCCAATCACTCAGAGGACCTGACTTCCCCTACTGAGGTGGGTTTGGGTGTAAGAGAGGGTGGGAGAGAGGGGTTACCAAGGGGCAGAGGAAATTTCTGGGAGAGGCACGGCACATTCGTTATCTTGATTGTGGTGGCGGTTTCATGAGGAATATACCTATGTCAAAACTCAAATTGTACATTTTAAATAATGCAGTTCATTGTATGTCAATTATACCTTCAAAATATTGCTTAAAATAAATAATTAAAAGAAAAAGGCACCTGAGACATTGAAAGGAAAGCCACGCCTTGGTAACTGGAGATCAGGTGACCTAAATGCTCACTACAGCATCTGACCTTGGCTCGGGTCATGATCTCACAGTTCATGGGTTCAAGCCCCACATTGGACTCTGTGCTGAAAGCTCAGAGCCTGGAGCCTACTTCAGATTCTGTCTCTCTTTCTCTCTCTCTCTCTCTCTCGAGCCTGGAGCCTACTTCAGATTCTGTCTCTCTCTCTCTCTCAGATTCTGTCTCTCTCTCTCTCTCTCAGTTCCTATCCCACTTGTGCTCTGTCTCTCTCTCAAAAATAAATAAACATTTTTTTTAAATTAAAAAAAAAAAGAGTGAGACACTCGACTGAGCCACCCAAGTGCCCCTATAGCATCTTTTTTTTTTTTTTTTTTTTTTTACTTTGAGAGAGAGAGAAAAAGAGAGAGAGAGTACACATGAGCCCACCAGCAGGGGAGGGGCAGAAAGAGAGGGAGAGAGAGAGGGAGAGAGAGAGAGAGAGAGAATGAATCCCAACCAGGTTCTGTGATGTGAGCACAGAGCCCAATGCCAGGCTCAAACTCACAAACCATAAGTTCATGACCTGAGCTGAAATGGAGAGTCAGATGCTTAACTGACTGAGCCACCCAGGCGCCCCAAGCATCTTTTACTCGACACATCTGTCTGCTTCTGCCTGCCTGCACAGCACAAAAATCACTTCAATTGTGCTACATGCACTGTTAGAACTATATGCATGGAGTTAACTTCCATTTTAAAAAGTCTTCAAAAACTACACAAGCCTTATCTTTAGATCATTAAAAGTCCCATTTTAACCACCAAAATTATTTGTTTTTCTATATTGATAAAGTAATTATCACCCAGCATTATAACGCTAAGCTCTGCTGAATCTATCAAAAACACTTATAGCAGCACCTGGATGGCTCAGTCAGTTAAGCATCCAACTCTTGATTTCTACTCAAGTCATGATCTCACAGATTGTGGGTTCGAGCCCCACATCTGTGCTGTGAGCACAGAACCTGCTTGAGAGTCTCTCTCCCTCACTCTCATATGCAATCACGCGCACACTCTCTCTCTCAAAATAAATTAATAAACTTAAAAAAAAGAATCTTATTTTGGAAATGGCTTTTAGTTTCAAGTCACAAAGACTTCTAAAGTAAATTTTTGCACTGACCAATAATGGCACAGCTGAATTTGCTGTGGTAATTGTTTGTACATTAATAGTTTCATTCCCCCTGCCAAGATGCAATTTCTTCTAAGCAAAAAGATGTCTATTATGTCCACAATTAAAAATGGAAAATAATAACAATTTTCCAAGTTCTCAAGAAATCTCATTTATTTAATCAGCAATAAACCCACACAGAAATTATTTCCAAGTTATAAAACAAAGCAGAAAATACATAATTATGTAAAATTAGTATACAGGATGCATATAACTAATGAACAGAAAATGTTTCAGTTGCTTCAGGTAAAACAAAAATTTCAGTGGATGCTGTGGCTGACATTAGTCCTTAAGCAGAAATACTTTAAAAATTGATGAATCTGAGGGGCACCTGGGTGGCTCAGTTGTTTGAGTGTCTGACTTTGGTTCAGGTCATAAGCTCATGGTTTGTGGGTTCTGGCCCGGCATTGGGCTCTGTGCTGACAGCTCAGAGCCTGAAGCCTGCTTTGGTTTCTGTGTCTCCCTCTCTCTCTGCCCCTCCCTCCTCACAAAAATAAACATTAAATTTTTTTAAATTGATGAATTTGAAATTTTGCTTTTCCCCACGTAATGGAAATGCTGTAAGAGCAGAAAAACTGACCAAGTAATAGGAAAAAATGAAATGTCAGCATACCAACAGTCTTGAAGACTCAAAGCTTACTGCTACTGGTTTTTCCTAAAACCAATAACTATCAAGGAACATTTTCAATGAAAATATAAAATGAAGAATAAATGAGTGTTTACCTAATCTTATTTTCTGTGCTCGTTCATGGAGCTGATTTACAAGTACTTTCATCTGTTCATAGTTTTCCTACAATAGAAGCAAAGAAAGAAAGGGAGAGTAATATTAGAAAGCAATTATCTTTTTTTTTTTTTTTTAACCAAAGGAAGGGCTAATGTGAACATCAGGTGCCAACCGCATGTGGCCTCACACAGGGCCACCCACTACCCACGCGACCTCCATGTTGGGTCACCCCACCAGATGGAAAGGATGACTCCTGCCTCTCCGTCTCTGCCCCAGCTCTTCTCATAACCACCTTCCTCCTCCGTCCATCAATCCGAATATTACCCCTCTTTAGCGCAAAATTCCTGCTCCCTCTCATCTCTAACACCTCTCATTTCTGGTCACTCCTACTCATTTTAACATCTTCCTTAAGCATCAATCAAACTTAATCGATTTCTATTTGTTTTCCTATTTTAAGTAATATAAGCCCTTTGAGAAAATTAAAATGTCATCTTTCTTTTTCTGTCCCATCAATTATTGCCCTAAGGAGTTTCCAACCAAAATGGAAATACTTGGGGGCACCTGGATGGCTTAGTCGGTTGAGCATTCAACTCTTGATTTCAGCTCTGGGCATGATCTCACAGTTCATGGATTCAAGCTCCACATCGCTCTCTTTGCTGACTTTGCAGAAGCTGCTTGGGATTTTTGGTCTCACCACCACCACCACCTCTCTGCCCCTTCCCTGCTTGAATGCTCACTGTCTTTCAAAATAAATAAATAAAAAGGAGCAGTGGCTCAGTCGGTAAAGTATCCAACTTTGGCTCAGGTCATGATCTCACAGTGCTTGAGTTTGAGCCCTGCGTCGGGCTCTGTGCTGACAGCTCAGAGCCTGGAGCCTGCTTCAGATTCTGTGTCTCCCTCTCTCTGCCCCTCTCCCACTCGCTTTCTGTCTCTATGTCTCTCAAAAATAATAAAACATTAAAAAATTTTTTTCATCAATAGACATTAAAAAGAAAAAGAAATACTTGGTTACTGACAAATTACACTTAAAAACAGAGCTCAGGGAACACAAGAGATCCTATTTTACATTTAAAAAGGAACAAGGGGCACCTGGGTGGCTCAGTAGGTTAAGCATCCAAATTCAGCTCAGGTCATGATCTTGCAATTTATGAGTTCAAGCCCCACATTGAGCTCTGTGCTGACAGCTCAGAGCCTGGAGCCTGTTTCAGATTCTGTGTGTGTCTCTCTCTGCCCCTCCACCACTCGCACTCTGTCTCTCTCTCTCAAAGATAAATATTTTAAAAATTTTAATCAATAAATAAAAAGCAACAAAACTACGTTTGCAGGTCTTTAGAAATTTTCTAGGGTAATATACAAGAAAACAAACTGTGGGGGGTGGAAAAAAGGGTAGACGGCCTCATTTTTCACCCTTCTGTAAATTTTGTTGGATCAGCACATTACTTTAGAACAAAAATTAAGTAGCTCGTTATTTTTGAAAATTCAGAGTTTAACCCACTAACACAGTTCGCTCCCCAGGATGGCTTTAACATCTCTGGTGATCTAATTCCTTTCACACGATGCAGTACTAAGCAGCTTTCCAGCTGTTCAAAATTAGAAGTGTTTACAGTAGAGCTGTTATTTATTTTCTACAGTTCTAAGAGTTCCCAACATCACAGTTTCTGCTACATTCTCTTGCTCTGCAAAATCCAGAAAATCAAAATGGGAGAAGCAGGAGACTGTTAGGGAAAGAACCTCTGCCCTGGAGCAGGGAGCTCCCACCCTCACAACTGTCTCTGTCCACTTCCCTGGGAGGCCTTCCAGGCAACAGAACTCCAGAACTCACCTAGAACGTTGTTTCCCAACCATGGCGGCGGGCACTGGAATCACGGGGAGGCTTTGAAAAATAATAAAAATAAAAATAAACCCTCAGAGATTCTGATGTCATTGGATGCAAATGTGGCCTGGGCATTAAGCCCGATAAAGGTTCGCCAAGCGATTCAAATGTCCAACGAAAAACAGAGGAACACTGGCCCACAGTCTCCATTTCTGAGTTCTACTCAAGGCAAACTGGAAACCTACCAAAAAGGGGGGTTTGGTAATAGGCAAAAACGGTTCCTTTATCACCAGAACTTTTTCAGATTACCATAGTATTTGTTGATATTAATAGCATGAGGCAGAGGACGCTGAGAACTTCGCTCTACTAAAAAGCCGAGGTTAGAGATGCTTTTTAGTCACAGTTAGCAAATTCAGAAACCTGCAACTTTATGAAGTGCCTCAGACAGAAACAGAGCTCTGCCCAGAGCATGTCTGTTCAGCCCATCACCAAGAGATGGCATTAGAGCAACGTGCATAAGCCACTTGACGTGTCTGAAGAGACGGCCTTTCAAAACCTAACATCCAACCTCTGTACTGACAGTCTCCTAGGCTGGGAACTACTGCTAGTCAGCACAGGCTGTGTCCTGAACCCCTCTGTCATCTGCGAGGGACCTAGCGGAGGGGGTTTGTGAGGGACAGCCCTCCCTGTCTGAACAGAACGGCCTGGCAGAGGAAGCTCCGGGGACTGAGGTGGTGGCCAACTCCTATCTGTGGATAAAGGGCATCTTCTCGGTGGGGCTCTCTCACCCAACCCTGGGCTGCAGCTCTGTGGCCCAGCGAGGGTGCTACTCCAGTCTCGGGCCCTGGGCTCCCACTCTGTGCTGCTAAACACACAGGGTGAGGAAAAGATCTGATTACTAGTTGCTAAGGGGAAAGGAAAGCAGGTTATTTTACTGCACAAAGTATCTTTTGCTTGTTTTGTGCTTAAAGTCTAACTTGTCAACTTCTACTTTGTTTTGAGGTTAAAAAATCCACCTCATAAATGTTTAAGATATTTTTTTTTATTTTTTTTTTAATGTTTTATTTATTTCTAGGAGAGAGAGAGAGACAGCGTGAGCAGGGGAGGGTCAGAGAGAGAGGGAGTCACAGACTGAAGCAGGCTCCAGGCTCTGAGCTGGCAGTCAGCACAGAGCCTGACGCGGGGCTCGAACCCACGAACCGTGAGATCATGACCTAAGCGAAAGTCGGACGCTTAACCAACTAAGCCACCCAGGCGCCCCACTTTTTTTTTTTTTAAAGCCCAACACAGGGCTGGAACTCATGACCCCGAGATCAAGAGTCACAGGCTCTACTGACTGAGCCAGCCAGGAGCCACTCAGAAAGTTTGATCTCAAAAATCCCCATGGATGGTGAAGGCAGCCTTTGCAAACGCCCCACTGCCTGGAATTCCACTTTCTCTCTCTGCCCCTCTCAGCCTGGCTGACTGATGGCTGACTGGTTCCGTGATTATTTAACAAAAGATTTGCTCATTTTGAGTTTAAGGAATTTCTGGAAAAGAATCTCATCCAAACTGTTAACCCTTGTGTTGCTTTACCATCTGGCAGTAAGGGTGAAAGATAATCTGAAAAATACACTGTAGGAAAGAAAAGAGAAGCCACAATATATTGTTCAACATGAGATTCCAAGTTCAATACAAGGAATTTGGTGCTAATGAAAAAAAACCCAAAAAACAAAAAAACCTCTGAATCCTATTATCTCAGCAAGGTATGTGAAAGGTTAACACATTTACCTTGGAATAATCTTATTTTCTTAATTTAAAATTGATAAGATGAAGAAAAAAAAGGTTTTTCCAATGACAGTATTTGGAGCTAATTCTCAAACAAGTCTATCCAGTCATTATAACATACTATCTTCTGCTCAGTCCTACTTATTTATCTCAACAGCACTAGAAAATGAATAGACAGTTTACAGTATCGCAAAGTGAAAAGGCAGAGATTTTTCTAACATGTTCAGCTACCCTTTAATGGGATTTGTCATTGTTGTTAATAAAAGAAACTTAGGAGGGCCTGGGTGGCTTAATCAGTTAAGCGTCCGATTTTGGCTCAGGTCATGGTCTCATGGTTCGTGAGTTCGAGCCCTGCATCGGGCTCTGTACTGACAGCTCAGAGCCTGGAGCCGGCTTCAGATTCCGTGTGTCCCTCTCTCTCTGCCCCTCCCCTGCTCTTTCTCTCTTTCTCAACAACAAACATAAAAATAAAAATATAAAAGAAACCTAACTTTGTTTCATGGAAATTTTCAAACATACACAAAAGAAAAAGACTAGTATAATAAATGTAGCCAATGTCCTTTAACAATTATCCACAATGGCTAAAGTTGTTTCATTTTTGCCACCCAACCCTGATTTATTTTAAGAAAATCCTAGACATAACACTTCCTCTGTATTTCCAAATCTCCAAAAGATAAGGACCATTACTGCGTATCAATGCTCTGTTAATAACATCAAATATCCAGTTAATGAAGACATTTCCTCAGCTTTCAGAGAGATGTTTTTTACTGTTTATTTGGATAGGATTCTATGGAAGGTATATATAGCCACAAGTGACTGATGTTTCTTAAGCCTTTTCTGAAAGGTAAGTTCTCCCATCTTTTTTTTTTTTTGTCTTGACATGTTCTCTTTGTCCCCTAGATTGTTAAATGCATCCTCCCAGTATTCTTCAACAAGTTCTTCCCTTGCAGATCTAGAGGCTGATGGGACTTTTTTGTGCCTTAGTTTCTTATTTTTCCCCCAATTCATCAAGAATTAGCTGACCTCGGGGTGCTTGGGTGGCTCAGTCAGTTGAGCATTTATTTGACTCTTGGTTTGGGCTCAGGTCATGGTCCCAGGGTCGTGGGATTGAGCTTCATGTGGGGGTCCACACTGGGCATGGAGCCTGCTTAAGATTCTCCTTCTGCGGGGCTTCTGGTTGGCTCAGCTGGTTGAGTGTTGGACTTGGGCTCAGGTCACAATCTCCCGGTTCGTGAGTTTGTGCCGGGTTCTCTGCTGATAGCTCCGAGCCTGAAGCCTGCTTTGGATTCTGTGTTTCCCTCTCACTCTGCCTCCCCCCAACTTGTGCTCTGTCTCTCTCTCTCTCAAAAATAAACAAACATTTAAAAAAAATAAAGTAAAAATGATTCTCCCTCTGCCCTTCTCACTCTCTGTCTCTCTCTAAATTTCTTAAAGCGAAAAAAAAAAAAAAAAAGAATTAGCTGATGTCCCTCCACCTGCATTCGACCTCCCAGAGTCTTCTGTCAACTTTGCAAACCACAGGCACCAAAGTTCAGAATTGATGAGTAGTTGCATACACACAGAGAAAACAAGTGACTCTGTGATAACGTGGACTCAAATCCAAGGAACAACTGCTATAGTCTATGGCATTGCTCAAATTAGAACAAAGTCAATCAAAACAAAAGCTATTTATACAAGGGATCTTTATCCTAGCTAAGTCAGCCTCCCAATTAAGAAATAAAGGAAACTGTCACTGATGGCCAAGACTTTCTGAAGCATATGGCCATGAGAAGTGACAGCAGGCAGTACAGATTCCTAGGCACTAGGCAGAGTGGGCAGAGAAATCAAACTGACCAAGGCTCTTAGGTGTCATCTCCCATCCAAGGCATGGTTTTATTTTTTAATAAATAAAATTTTTATTTATTTTATGGGTTTTAGTTTGCATCAGAGTTTACTACTTATAGCTGGTGGTCCCAAAAGATAAAGGTACACCTAAGTGAAATCTTTTAACATTCAACATAAGAAGAACACATCCACTCTCTCTATACTATTTATCTATGGAAGACACAGAGAGCTGCTTATCCATATCCATTCTTTCCATCTTTCTTGATGGTGAAATCCCAGTTTTATTCAAGGTGACAACATGCCTATCTGGAAAAGTAAAAATATCCTAGCCTCCTTTTGTAGACAGGTGTGGCCATGTGACTAAATTCTAACCAATGAAACAGAGGCAGAAGCTATTAGGCATGACTTCTGGAAAGGCTTCTTAAAAGAGAACAGCTGAGGGTGTCCTATCACCTACTCACCCTTCCTCCTCCTTTGTACCTGAACTCAGACATAATAGGTGGAGCTTAAGCGACCATGTCCACAGCATGAAACGGATTGTACTACTTGCTCAAAATTCTTCTGTCCCTCCCACCCTTGCCAAGGTTCAGTGTGAGAATAAACTTCCCCACTCACAGTCTATGAGTCTGTCCCTTTTACTTGCTCTGACCCGTGGAATGTGGGCAAGACCAACAGTACAGCAACTGTAAACAAAGGCTCTAAAAGGGCCAGTGTCTCCATACTCTCCTCTTGAGCCCCAGCCTTCCATTATGAGAGAAGCACCCCTCAGTAGCCACTGTCCCTTCAGTCTGAGTTCTGGAATAAAAAACAAATAGAGCAGACCTGAATCTAGTGCACCGCCCAGAGAAGAATAGCCACAGCCAACCCACAGATCCCAGAGCAAAAAATAAATATTTGTTCTTTTGGACACAGGGATCTTGGGATTGTCTGCTATACAGCATTACTGAAGCAAAAAGCTGGCTAAAGAGATCCTGAGATGACATCATGGAGAGAAGAAAAAGTTGTGAGAGCTAATACTTCTTGAGGGCTTATTATATCCCAGGCAATGTTATAGGCAGCCACTATCTGTCCTGATGATTCTATGAGATATGCAGTTATTAATGCTACTATACAATTGAGGTAACTAAGGTACAGAGAGATTAAGTAACTAGTCCAAAATGACTCAGCTAACAAGTAGTAGAGCTAGGATTTAAGGCAAGGCTCACTAGCTCCGGAATCTTGCCCTTTTTTTTTTCTTCTTTTAACAGTTTATCGTCAAGTTGATTTCCATATAACACCCAGGGCTCATCCCAACAAGTGCCCTCCTCCATGCCCCCCTTTCCCTCTCCCCTACCCCTATCCAGAATCTTGCTCTTAAACCGTATGCTACACTGTCTCTGCCCACTCACGGGGCCACTGTTAACATTTTAGCCTATTTCCCTCCTGGTTTTTCTTTTCTTCGCCATGGAAATACATTATTTTTTAGTTTTTAACATACAGGAAATACTAGATCAGTGCCTTTTCCATCATACCACAACTACTTACCTATTCTAATTACTAGTGCACAGACTGGACCAGAACCTTAAACATTGTACACAGAGAAAGAAGTTGTATGCTCAGGCCCACACTCCCTAACCCTTAGCTAACAGCCACCATCAAAAACATAGGCCTTGAGGCACCTGGGTGGTTAAGTCAGTCAAGCGTCCAACTTTAACTCAAGTGACAGTCTTGCAGTTCATGAGTTCGAGCCCCACATCAGGCTTGCTTGTGCTGTCAGCTGAGCCCAGAGCCTGCTTCAGATTCTGTCCCCTTCTCTCTCTGCCCCTTCCTCACTCACACTCTGTCTCTCCCTCCTTCAAAAATAAATACACATTTAAAAAAAAAAACAAAAAACAAAAAACAGGTCTGGACCTAAAGACAAAAAGATGGCAGACCAGGAAGCTCCAGGCCCTCATTTACCCAGAGACATGCCCAAACAACCAAAAACTGGCTAAAATAACCTTACTGAAGCTCTGGAAAATAGTCAAAAGCCTACAGCAATCAGACAAACACCTCTCCTCCGTACTGCCACCACGCTGATGATTCTATCACATCCACAGGGATTTTGCCACTTCTCTACTTAAATATTTTAGTAGATAGCTTGCAAAATGAAATCCGAATGTGGCTTCAGCAAGCAAAACGCTCCAGACTATTTAATCTCGTCTACTCCATGAACTGCATAGCCTAGTCATGACTTCAAAGTCCTCATACCCTCTATACGCTTTCAGAACTTGGTTATCTGTGTTCTCATAACTCCCAGAGTTTGTACAGTCTTGCCTCTCCTCCACCTTGTACCTGGCCAGCTCTGACCCAAAAACGATCAAGATCCAACTCACTCATTACTTCTATCTGCAGTTTTCTGTAACTACCTTTTCAAGCTTTAAATACCACTTATCACAATGCACTCTAATTACATGTTTTCTTGTTCACCTTCTCCCCAAAATTATGACTCCATGCCTACCCATCTATACCAAATGCTCAACTACTACCTAAACAACAGAAACCACTTAATATTTCTGAACTAAACACGGTCTCCTGACCCTAGAAAATCTAGACTTTTGGAACCCTCTCACTGGTTATTGTTCATCTCAGCTTGCTTATTTTCATTCAATGTAAGGAAATTGTTTAAAATGTCTTTTCTGAAAGTTACTTATACAATTTAAATGTTATCTGTATAAGCTCAGAAACCATGGGCCAGGGTGGAATTTCCCAGCTTTGAAATTTCACAAGCTGTTTCTTTGACGTTCCAAAAAAAGGTATTCAAAGAGAGTGCAATAAGTATGTTCTATCAACATAACCAACTATTTAACTAAAGTCTGGTAAGCAAAACCCAGGGTTATCTGTGCTAGGCAAGTGTTCCCAAAGCTGAACGCCGCCAAGGCCTCAGGACTTCACTAACAATGCAAACACCAGGATCCCATCCCAGAGACACCAAAGGTCCAGGATGAGGCTTACCGCAGCCTTCAGCAAGTTCCTCCCTCGGCTGACAATACTAAGTCAGGTTTTGAGAACCAGTGATTTCAAAGATACAAAGTAAGTGCCAGGGCTAAAAGTAAACGAAGATGTATTTTATTTGGAATTATCTTTCTCTGCAAACTTCATGACCCCTACTGTGTCCCAGAACCATGACTGGAGGCTCCAGAGAAAAGAACAGATAGAGTGTCAACAGTTCACTCGCTGCCTAGTCCCGCCAGCGCTTAGTCCTGTCCGGCCCACATTGGCGGACAGGGAGTCACAGGTTCGGTCAGACGTTTCCAGGCCCGGGCCGCCGAGCGCTCACGCAGCCTACCTGGTAGATGGCAGAACCCGAGTCCGGCTGGGTACCCAGCGTGGCCACCGAGTCCCCGTGATAAGCGCGCGGCCCGGGGACAAGGGCGCGGGCGCAAGGCCGCAGGGCTAACCTCAGGGAAGCCCACATAACAGCAGGCCCGGAGCGATCAACTAGCGGAAAACAGCGGCCTGCGCAGGTTCAGAGTTGGTTACTTCCCAACCAGCCTCCCTAATTCAGGGTACAGCTCAGCTCGCTTCCTTGCAGCCCCCAAACGCCTGAAAACACCGCAGACTCCCAGGTCAGCAAAGGCGCTTGCGTGCGCTCGCCAGCCGTAATTGGTCGTCGCGGCGCCCCACGCCCCCGGAACTCAGCCAATAAGCGACAGAGGCGCAGCCCCGCGAGGTCCCGTCCCCTCGCGAGCACGGGAGTTCCGCGGTCCGGAGGCGGAGCCACCTTCCGGTTGCCTCCCCTCCTGTCTGCGCACTGAGCTGGCTAGACGAGGTACGGTATCTTGGAAATAGTCTCTGTCCATTTTCGACGTGCTGTCTTTTTCTTCCTCTCTTAATAGAAGAGGGCTGGCACTTGAAAAATCTCATCATTATAAGAGAGCTGGAAACTGCACAGGCAGTAAGCTGTCCTGAGAAACAAAACTCTTTAGAGGCGATACGTCTTTATTCATTCATTCAACAAATATTTCTTCAGTGTCTCCTGTGTCCATTGCTCTCCTGGCGCTGGGTCTTATAAGTTCATGAGTGTTCCAGCTTTGTCTTCTCTTTCAAGGGTTTTGTTTTTGTTTTTGGCTATTTGGGGTGTGCTGCTTGAGATTCCGTATTAATTTTAGTATGAGTATTTCTGTTCATGAACATGTCATTGGGGTTTTGTTAGGGATTACATTGAATCTGTTCGCGGATAATATTGACATCTTAACAGTATTAAGTTTTGCAGTCCATGGACATGGGATGTGTTACCAGGTATTTGTGTCTTATTTCTTTCAGGATTGTTTTGTAGTTTCCATTGGGCAAGCTTTACACCTCCTTAGTTAATTCTTATTTTATGCTTTTTGTATTTTATTCTTTTTGATAGTATTGTACATGGAATTGTCTCTGTAATTTCCTTTTCAACTTGTTCATTAGTGTATAAAAATGGAACTGCTCTTTGTGTGTTGACTGTATCCTGCTACTTTGCTGAATTCATTTATTAGCTGTAACAGGTTTTTTTTTTGTCCGAGTATCTTCAGGGTTTTCTACTTACTCCTCATCTGCAAAGTGATAATTTTACTTCTTCCTTTCCAATTTGAATGCCTTTTCTCGTTCTTGCCTAACTGCTCTGGCTAGGACTTCCAGCATTATGTTGATAGCAGTGGCAAAAGTGGAACTTCTTGCCTTGTTCCTGATCTTTAGAGGAAACACTTTCAGTCTTTCACCACTGAATATGATGTTTGCTGTGCATTTTTCATACATGGCATTTACATGATGTTAAGATAGTTTTTTCCTATCCCTAGTTAGTTGTTTTTATCACGAAACAGTATTGTATTTTGCCAAATGCTTTTTCTGCATCAATTGAAATGATCATGTGTGTCTTTTTTCTTCTTTATTCTGTTAATGTGGTATATTTCATTAATCAGTTTTGATATGTTGGACCATCATCTTTGCATTCCAGGAATAAGCTCCCCAGTTGGTCCTAATGTATAACCCTTTGTATTATGCTGCTGAATTCAGTTTACTAGTATTTTATTGAGGACTTTTGCATCAACATTCATAAGGATAGTGGTCTGTAAGGTTCTTGTGTCTTTGTCTGGCTTTGGTAGCAGGATACTGGCCTCAGAATGCATCAGGAAGTGTTCTCATCAAGTTTTTTGTAAAAGTTTAAGGATGATTGATCTTAGTTCTTCTTTAAATGTTTGGTAGAATTCACCAGTGAAGCCATAAGGTTCAGTGCTTTTTGTCTACTACTCATTCAGTCTTTTTACTATAGATCTATTCAAATTTTGTCTTTGTTTTTTGTTTTCTTAGAGAGAGAAAGACCACGAGCAGAGGAGAGGGGCAGAAGGAGAGAGAATCCTAAGCAGGCTTCACATTCAGCGAGGATCCTGATATGGGACTTGATCTCATGATGCTGGGATCATGACCTGAGCTAAAATCAAGACCCAGACTCTCAACTGACGGAGCCACCCAGGCACCTCTCAAGTTTTCTGTTCTTTGTAATGTAGTCTTGATAGGTTTTGTTTCTAGGAATTCGTCCATTTGATCTAGGTTATCCAGTTTGTTGGTGTACAGTTGTACATAGTATTGTTTACTTTTTTACTTTAGGGAATACAGTATTTCAGCTTTCATAATGGAAATAACGATGTTTTTACCTCTTTCTCTCATAAATGATCCCAAAGCAACACAAAGAAGAATTCATATCCCACCTTCAATTAAACTAGGACATATGTGAAGATAGTAGGCAAAAACAAGAATACTAAATTTAGAAGAAAAAAGGAAGCTGAAATCTAAGTGCTTCCAGTGGAAGATAAAAACAAATAACGAGTCCGTTTGCCTCCCAGAAACCCCTGCAAGGCTCAGAAATTGGTGGTACCAGCAACAGACAAAGGTGTGGATGGATTTGAGGAAAGGCGGTAGAGACAAAGAAACAGTGGAACTAATTGAAAATCTGTATAAGAAGTAATTAGAACCTCAGGTTTCCATTCCCACTTGGCCCAGGATATATTTTCTGGAGAAACTGCCATCTCAGAAGTTCCAAATATAGGGACACTACACAGGATTAAAGTGCCAGATTGAAACCAAAAAGATTAATTGAAAGTCTGGAGGCCAAATCAAGAAAGCCCTGTTCCTGACCTTCCTTTTTCCTCCAAGGCCTAAAATGCTGGCTACCAGGTTTATGTAGGAGTCTAGAGAAACCTTACCACTTCATAGAAAAGATCAACAGTGACATCTGAGGTTTCCCAATGGAAAAACTCCTTAGAAAATAAGCATCTACTGTGTACCTACAATTTGGCTCATCCTATTTATACTCCAATAAGCTTGTAAAAGCTCCCAGTCAACTTTTTAGAAACTTTCTCTAACATATACATGGATAACCAAGCATCAACAGGCATTTGAGTAAAATTTTCAACATGTAATAGACACCCACCCCAACCAAGAAAACAAAAACAAGAAAACCTCAGAAGAAACCAATGGTAAAAGGAACAAACTACAACATCCTTAGAGAAATGAAAATACATTGCATTCATGAAACAAGAACAGGATTATGAAAAAAAAATTTAAAGCTTTTGTAAATAAAGATATGAAACCAAGACTTTAAAAAATCTGTAGAAGGGAAAGAAACATGGAGATAAAATTTTATTTTATTTAATGTTTATTTATTTTGAGAGAGTGAGTGAACAAGTGAGCATGAGCAGGGTAGGGGCAGAGGAAGAGAGAATCCCAAGCTATTGGCACAGAGCCTGATGCAGGGCTCCGTCTCACGATTGGCTCAATCTCATGACTGACATCGTGACTTGAGCTGAAATCAAGAGTCAGACGCTTAAGTGACTGAACTATCCAGGCACCCCTGGAAATAAAATTTTAAGCCCCATTTCCAACTTACAACTTGGTAGAAATGTAATCAAAACTAAAGATTACCAGCTTTAATTTGTCACTTAATGAGAAATTATTAGGATGAGAAAACATGTTATGAGGAAACAAGATACTCTGCTAGACACTAAATTTATTAGTAAGTGCCAGGGCTATTATTTCCTGGTTGGCATTAAATTTCAGTTTATACTTAACATTATACTTAACTAAAGTTTTAGTGGTTTATACTTGTGTATCTTATTATAATGGAGTTTTTAACTGTTTGCTAAGGGGAAATAGCTTTCCTTTAAGATTGAAAGGCTTGCTTTAATAGCCCCACAGTTGGTTTTAAACCTTAAGACTATGAATGGATGCTATGGAAATAACTATAGTTAAAATTTTTATTAGAATATAAAAGTCGACTGTTTTATAAAAGTCAAATATTTCAGCAATAAACAATTAGAAAATAAGCATTTTTAAAACATCATTTATAATGTATTCAAAGAGTATTAAGTACTGGGGTTCCTGGCTGGCTCATTTGGTAGAGCATATGACTTTTGATACAGTTGTGAGTTTGAGTCCCACACTGGGTGTAGAGATTACATAAAAAAAGAACATCAAGTAGTTAGATGTATATCTAACAAATGAGATGACACTACCATATATTTACACAAGAGAAAAACTTATCAACAAAAAGATTATGCACAAGAATATATATCTTTATTCAAAATAGTCAAAGTTTGGAAACAATACCCTAGGAAAATGGACAGAAAATTAGGGTCTATTCATATAATGTGGTATACTCATAAAATAGAATAAAACTCAGCAACAAAAGTGAACAAAGTACTAACAGGGATGGATCCCAAAAACATTGTGCAGAAGTAACCAGATAGAAAAAAAATGCAGCGTGTGATTCCACAAAGTTTTAAGTCCAAGCAAAACTAATCTTTGTGGGTGAGAGAGGGGAAGAGGCCAAGGTAACTTCCTAGCATAATGGAAATGTTTGCTTTGCAGGGTAGTTACAGAAGAGTATGCATTGTTAGTACTCAAAGTGAATACTTCAGATCTGTGTATTTTATGAAATGTAAACTATGCCTTAAAACTGTTAACTACAGGGGTACCTGGGTGGCCCAATTGGTTAAGCATCTGACTTTTGATCTTGGCACAGGTTATGATCTTCCAGTTCTTGATATCAAGACCCACATCAGCTCTGCGCTGACAGTGCATAGTTTCCTTGGGATTCTCTCTCCCTCTCTCTCTGCCCTTCCCCTGCCTGCTCTTTCAAAAAAAATGCACATTAAAATTATTTTACAGAAAAAAAGATTAATAGAAATTGTAGATAAAAGAACCATGAAAATAAAAGAAACAAAATTATCAAAACAGTAATATAAGAACATTTCCCAGAAGGGAGGGAAATGAAGTTTCTGTATTAAAAAGGTCCATTAAATGGATAAGGAATCAATGGCACCAAACTTTTAAACACTGAAAACTGGAAGACAATGGAGCATGCCTTCAAAATGATGTGAAAAGTATTTTCAAATTATTCAAGAATTCTATTCATAGCCCAACTGAGAGTAGAATAAAGAAATTTCAGACAGGTAAAGTCTTAAATAATGTTATCGCCCATGTACCGTCTTGCAGTAAACAGTGGAGAATGTACCTTCCAAAACAAATCAAGAAAAGGCACCTGGGTGGCTCAGTCAGTTGAGCCTCCGACTTCGGCTCAGGTCATGATCTCACCACGCATGGGTTTGAGCCCCGCGTTGGGCTCTTGCTGACAGCTTAGAGCCTGCTTTGGATTCTGTGTCTCCCCCTTTCTCTGACCCTCCCATGCTCATGCTCTGTCTCTCTGTTTCCCAATAATAAATAAATGTTAAAAATTAAAAACAAATCAAGAAAGACAATGCCAAGGGTCCTACAGAGAATCTAAACCAGGAAAGAGAGGTAGGAAATTCAGAGAGTAAAGGCAAAGGGCAGTCCCACAATGACAGCTGTGCTGCACATAAAGACCTACGAAGCCACTAGACCAGTTTACAGTAGGAAGAGGTTCATAAAGTTTTCTAAGAAAAAAAGGAAACTGTTTATCTGACAGTTTGGCCATGTGGAAAATTATACACAGAGGCATTCTGAAGCAATTATTGACTCCAAGAAAAACAAAAGGTTGTACCAGAAGTGTCACCTTAGTACATAATGTGGCACAGCAATGAATAGTTACAATTAATACAACAGCAATACTGAATACGGATTAAACCTTAATTGTAACATATTAAGGACGTATGGAAGGGAGAGTTTAAGAAAGCTAGTATTCTTTTTTTTTATGTTTATTTTTGAGAGAGAGAGATCACACACATGAAAGAGAAGGGAAGGGGCAGAGGGATATAAAATCCAAAGCACACTCTACACTGTCAGTGCAAAGCCTTATGTGGGGCTCAAACCCATGAATCATGAGATCATGACCTGAATTGAAGTCAGATGTTCAACCGACTGAGCCACCCAGGTGCCCAAGAAAGCTAAAATTCTTTTTTTGAATTTTTTTAATGTTTATTTTGTGAATATGTATGTTTGGTCCCACTTTATTTTTTAAAATTTTTTTTAATGTTTTATTTATTTCTAAGAGAGAGAGACAGCATGAACAGGGGAGGGTCAGAGAGAGAGGGAGACACAGAATCCAAAACAGGCTCCAGGCTCTCAGCTAGCAGTCAGCACAGAGCCCAATGTGGGGCTCAGACCCACAAACCATGAGATCAGGACCTGAGCCAAAGTCAGACGCTTAGCCGACTGAGCCACCCAGGCACCCCAATGTTTATTTATTTTTGAGAGATAGAGAGACAGACTGTGAGCAGGGGAGGGGCAGAGAGAGAGAGACAGATTCCAAAGCAGGCTCCAAGCTCTGAGCTGTCAGCACAGAGCCTGATGCAAGGCTCGAACCCACCAACTGTGAGATCATGACCTGAGCCAAAGTCAGAAGCTTAACCGACTGAGCCACCAAGGGGCCTCAAGAAAGCTAATATTCTTAAGCACCAAAATGCACAATATCTAACATTCATAAATAAGAGATTAACAGAATAACCGTATTTAGAAATATGTAATAACAGAAGAAACAGCTAGTTTGAAATCTAGCACTCTTTAACTTTTTAAGCCACGTATAATGATTTTTTAAAATACGAAATAATGCATATTAAAAGGTTAGTACCAAGCCTAGAATAATAAATGGTAACCTGTTATTTTTAAAAAGTGAGGGTTTTTAAAAATCTGGGCAGAGGGAAATTAGAGTAAAAAGTAAAGCCAGAATGAATTTACTACATAAAGTGTGTGATACGAAGTATCTTGCTGTAGTTTTGCCACAAATTTAGCCTTGCTTTGATAAAGAAAACAACATAAGGATTCACAAGGCCCACATAAAATATCAGACCAGTTGAACAGAAGTCCTAATTATTCCTGGCACTGAAGTCAAAGAAATATTTCCTACGGATTCTCCTAAGTAGGATATTGGGAGATTAAAAAAAAAAAAAAAATTAAGTCTGTAACATCATTATGGTAAAAATAACAATTTCTTCAGGCTTTTGTACTATCTGACATAATATCCTTAACCACAGCAGACAAAACAATGTATGCAGCCCATATACATAGCTCTTTGATGATCTGACCAAATTCAGTATAAAAATTCTACTTGGAGAAATGGCCAGGCTACTCTTTAGGAAAATTTCTACAAATATTTCTCTCAGCTAAATTTTTTGAACAACTAAGATTTTGTCAATATCCATCCACTTCAGAAGTCCAGGATTATATTATGTCCAGGACTAAAGTTTCCCATTTGTCTTTCTCTACAGAGAAAACAAAATTGGAAGAAAAAAAAGAATGAAAGAGATTGAGAATTCTTGTACCTAAAAATTCATTATTTAAGGAATAAATGAACAAGAAAGCAACTCTCCACATGTCCTAAATGGGAATCAGGGGCAAGTCTATTCTTTATTCTTACAAGATCAAAAACATATCCTTCACAGCACGCGTATCAAACAAAAGATTAATTCTTCCAGGTATACTATATTTGTACAGAAGGAAGAAAGTTAAGTGTAAGCTGTAGGTGAAAAACTGACAAGTTTTGGTTAATTAAACATCACTATCTTTCGGTCATTTGAAAAGAAAAAAGACAACAGAAATAGTATAAAATAACTTTTATTTACATAATTTATATCTATAGAACATAACTGCTTTCTTTATAACAAGAAAATTTACAAATGACATATTGCTTTTTGTCAAAAACTCCTTCAAGCAAGAGAGTATATACATGGTCTATATATACACTTCTATTTCAAATAACATGGTCAAGAGTGGATATTCATAATTTTATCTGTGCCTCATTCATTTACCAACAATTAGGCTTTTAAACCATCATGTTGATTGCGTGCTAAGATATAAGTGTTCAGGAGGAAAAGTCAAGAAAACAAAAACCATTATTCATACCTCCTTTAAGATTTATAAAATTCTTCTTCACAACATTATCTTTATATGAATCAGATTAAATACAGGCGTGACTAATTCCTTCCACCCTGTAAGGTAAAGACACTGATTACGTTTCTCATTTTCCCAGATTAGTTTTAAGGATATAATAGTAGGACAATTTAGCTGGCTGACTTGATTCTTTAACACAATGAATGCCCAAAGATAAAATTACTTCTTATACAGTAAGAAGCTGTATCTTCCATAAAATTAATTCATTATAGATGAACAAGAGACAGATGTTAACAAAGTTAAAAAATAAATATTACACAAGGGATAAAATAATAGTTTAACTGTGGCAACTTAACACCAAAACTAACATTAACTGAAAGAAACTATTTCAGAATATGAGACTTTAAAAAATTTTATAAAAACAGGGCATTAAAATGACAATGTGATTTAATACCATGATTTTTGTGACATCTTAATCACATGAAATAAATTAATGCATACCTATTGAGAATTTCCACTCAGATTCTTAGATCCTCCTTTATGACAAAGTTAAATTGTAAATTTCACTATAAAGCAATGAATAAGAAATGCTCAAACAGCAATTTTAGGATTACTGTTACACTTGTTGAGCCATATCCTATTTTACTAGTGAACTCAAAAATTGGCCACAATTTCTTTCAATATACAATTATCTGGACATTAAAATATCTTCCCAGCTGAAAATACTGATGATTTTGTAATGCAATCAATCAACAGTTTTAATTGTTGATGTACAACTCATAACTTCAGTGATGAATATTTTATAGATAAAGATGTCAGCACCTTAAAGTATGAAAATTGCTATCTAATGTAGGGATCAAACTAAAAGCCCAATCCAGCCATGTAGATCACTTAAGAATCCTCTGTGGCTGTTTGCACACTGAAATAGCAGAGTTTAATAATTGCCACAGACACTTTCTAGCCCACAATTGTGGAAAGTATTTCTGACTCTTGCTCTGAGACTTTTCAAATAGAATATTAAATCTGCTTTTTTAAGAAGTTAGATTCAAACCACCAAAGATTTGGGTGGAAAATGGAATTACAAATGTAAATAACAAAATTTCAAAATTAAAAACAACCCTTAAATTAATACTGATGATAATCAATGACTTAATGAAGTTTTATTATTATCTGATTTTCTGTTTTAATATCACAATTATGTTCTGTGCTTAACGGCCTAAGTGTTCCTAAAGCAGAATTTAATGGGGGAAAAAAACTATCAAGAAATCAGTTTTTAAAAAAAGGAATGTGTGTCAGTGTATGTGTGTGTAAAGGGGATTGAGTTTTGTATGTAAATCTCCCTCATAAATTAAGGGTTTTTCCCCCATACAAATCCTGAGATTATCTAAGAAATAAGAAAAACCAAAAATTCACAGTACAAATATACTAAACTATGAGAAACAAATGTATTCAAAACATACACTATCCAAATACCTTTAGTGATATAACTTTAAATATCTTTAAAATTAAAGAGGGAAAAGGGACAAACATAAATTTGTCAATGCCTTCTCTACCCATAATCTGAGTGGTGAAAATAATTAAAACTGAATATTCTTTTAAATAAAAAATTTAAAAATAAATAAACTTTTTGATGTTTTGTCTTTATAAATAATAAGTTTAAATACTACTTACTTGTTCAATTAGGACTAATGTTACATCAACATCAATTAGAAAAATACATATTTTCCAGTCAAATAGATGAAAATAGAAGTTTTTAACATTTACCATACTAAAGCGGAGTTTCACAATATGCTTTCATATACCTAGAGGCAACTGAAAGGCCTTCAGCAAAACCAACAAAACACAAAAAACAAAACCACCTCCCCGCCCCCCACCAAAAAAAAATCCCAGAAAAAAAACCTTTACAAAAGAAGTTCACTAAATGTTAAATACAATCCACCTCCAAATACTTGGGCACTGTGATTTATACAGAAACATTTATCCACAACATTCCAGAATGTCCATGTGTGTTCAGCACAGGAAGAATAAAAATGTAAACAAGAGAAGCTATTTCCATCTCAGAAGCAGTTCTTAATTGCTTTGTATTTCCAAAATGCTGAATCAGTCAGAATGAAAGGAACCTCGGCAAAGCTTTCCACTGATTATAACAGCTTCAAATTAAGCTCATTAAATATTCAGAATCAACCTAAAGAAAAATAGCCAGTGATGCTTTTTTCTAAATACTGCTTAGTTGATATAATTGACCGTGGAAATCCTAGACTTATAAAAAAAAAAAAAAAAAAGGACTTCTATTATGTTTCATCCACTTGGATAAAGATATCACTAAAAAAATATTCAGAGACTGTGGTGGGCCCCTCTTCAGGTGCCCGATTTTGGCCAGTTTTACATTCTTCTTTTGGTAAGGGACGATCAGAAGAAACCTAAAAAGATAATAAAAATAAGTACGCCACACAACATTTATGTATTGGTAGGGGTAATCTAAATTGATATTGCCTTTCAATATCAATTTAAACTACCACAAAGCAATATAGTGATAAATATTAAGAGTTTTAACTATGTTCATGCTCATTGACCAAATAATTTCATTTCTATGCTGTTATATTAGGGAAATAATACAAAACATAGTATAAGAGTTTTATGAATAAGACAACCTTTGAAGCATTACTTTTAATAAAAATGGACTCAATATACAACCGCAGACATGATTAAATTAATTATAATATACACATGGTCCATTATTTTACCCTCATTTCCATGAAAAAAATTTTATATAGAAAAACATAACATCAAATCTACAATGAAAAGTTTTAATAATCTGGGTAAGAACAGACACACTCATGGGCCACCTGGGTGGCTCAGTCGATTAAGCCTCTGACTTCAGCTCAGGTCAAGGTCTCATGGCTGTGAGTTTTGAGCCCTGCATTGGGCTCTGTGCTGACAACTCAGAGCTTGGAGCCTGCTTCAGCTTCTTTCTCCTTCTCTCTCTGCCCCTCCCCTACTTGCACTCTGTCTCTCTCTCTCTCAGAAACAAACATTAAAAAATATTTATATTTATTTATTTATATGTTTATTTATTTATTTCTGAGAGAGAGAGAGAGACAGCGTGAGCAGGGGTGGGTCAGAGAGGGAGACACAGAATCTGAAACAGGCTCCAGGCTCTGAACTAGCTGTCAGCACAGACAGTTTGAGCCTGATGCAGGGCTCAAACCCACTAACCGTGAGATCATGACCTGAGCTGAACTCGGACGCTTAACCAACTGAATCACCCAGGCACCCCAGGAGTGCCTTTTTACTTTTTTTTTATTTTTTATTTTTTTAAACGTTTTATTTATTTCTAGGAGAGAGACAGCATGAGAAGGGGAGGGTCAGAGAGAGAGGGAATCACAGACTCTGAAACAGGCTCCAGGCTCTGAGCTGGCAGTCAGCATAGAGCCCGACGCGGGGCTCAAACCCACGAACCGTGAGATCATGACCTAAGCGAAAGTCGGACGCTTAACCGACTAAGCCACCCAGGCGCCCCCAGGAGTGCCTTTTTAAATGACCAGAAAGACAGAAGCCATAAAAGGAAAGACGGATAAAAGTCATCTAAGTAAAAATAAAAAATATCTGCATGGCAAAAACTACCATACACAAAATCAAAACATAAAGGGCATACAGGCTAAAAACAGAACAAAACAAAACAAAACCAAAACCATATACAAGCTTCATCACAAAGGATTTTCTTTAAGAGCATCTACAAATCAGTATGAAAAAGACTAATAAACCAACCAATTTTTTTAAAAAAATCAAACATATAAACAGATGGTTCACAAAGAAAGCATAAATCATTCAAATACATGAAGAGGTGTTCAGCCTCACTCATATAATGCTCATTAAATCTATGAAGAATGTCCTAATGTGAAAAAAATTGATTACATGCTAGTGTGAGGAGAAAGGCCCTCTCATACACTGCTGATAAGAAGAGAAAGTGATATATTCCCTATGGAAGACAATCAAGTAATATCTATCAAAAGAATAATCATTCCTTTTGATCAGCAGCTACATTTCTAGGAATTCAATCTATAGATCAAAGTATAAAATCACTCATTTCTAAGTTAGATATTACATTATTTGAAATAGCAAATCATTAGGAATAACCTAAATAGCTACCAATGTGAGACCGATATTGCTCTATGGTACACCCAAACAATGGAGTAGGATACAGTCATTAAAAATAATGAGGACACTCTTGGGTACTTATTCCTGAAATGTGAACTTATATCCACACAAGAACTTGTGTATGAGTGTTCACAGCAGCTTCATCCATAATAGGCAAAAATTGAAAATAACCCAAATGTCCTTCAAGTGGTAAAAGGATAAACATGAGAATTCTATTCAGCATTGAAAACTAACAAATTCATAAAACCATCTGGATGTTTCTCTAGGGAACTATGCTGAGTGGGAAAAAAGTTGATTCCATTGACACAACTGTATACAACATTCCACTTACATAACATTCTTTGACCGACAAATTTAATGGTGTAGAACAGGCTGCCAGAAATTCAGAAGAGTGGGGGTGGGATGCAATGGAAACATGTCTATAAAATGCAACACAAAGAATCTCTGTGGTGACAAAACTCTTTTGTAGCTAGACTGTGGCAATGTCATTATCATGGTGGTGATACTGTACCATACTTTTATAAGATGTTAACATTGGGGAAAAATGAATAAAACATATATGGGATCTCTCTGGATTGTTTTCTAAAACTGCATGTGAATCTACCATTATCCCAAAATAAAAAAGTTTAATTTAAATTAAAAAAAAAAAAAAGATGGGGTGCCTGAGTGATTCAGTTTGTTGAGCGTCTGACTCTTGATTTCAGTGCTAGGCTATGTGGTGATAGTGTGGAGCCTGCTTACGATTCTTTCTCTCTCTCCCTCTTGTTCTCACCCTCTCTCTCTGTCCCCTCTCAAAATAAAGAAACATAAAAAAAGAGAAGAGAGAGACTGAGACAGAGAAGAAGGAAGAACTTTACATACTATTTTGCAAAGATCTCGAAGACATACTGTTATGGTGAAAACAGCAAGGAAGAACTGTATGCTATTATTTTGAAATAAAAAGAAGAAAAATGTTTATGTTTGTGTACACAGAAAATATCTCTGGAAAACTAACCAAAAACTGACTAACAGCATACACTTGTAAAAAGGGGAAATGAGGAAGCTAAAGAACGGATGTTGGAAACTTTGTAAACTTTTTTTGTAGATACAAATTTGAAAACATGTAGAATATATTACTGTTTCAAAAATAATAATAAAATAGCAATTTGAGAATGTTTAGTCTTGCCTCACACTCTATACCAAAGTCTTATAACTATGAACAGAGTTCATTTTAAAACTAATTACTGAACATTTTATACCTTGGAGAAAAACTTTCTCTAATCATAAAAGCAATTTAATAAACTGTAAAGAAAAAATAGATTTGGCTAAACATTTAAAACCTATTATTAAAAACCCTCCAAAATTTTAAAAAGTAAATGAATTTGAAAAAATTACTTGAAGCAAAGAGCTAAAAAGGTATGTGGCTTTCTTACATAAGGATCTCACATAAACTGGTAAGAAAACCACTAAGATCCCCAAAGTTATAAATAAGCAAAAGACAGGAACAAAACAGAAAAAAAAAAAAAGAGAGAGAAAATGTAATAAATATATGGGGGGAAAAAGTCATTATTAACTAAAGAAATGCAAATTAAACAAATAAAATTACATTTCCACATTGCTGGTAATTGTAATAACTGTTCTCCATAGAAATTTGGCAATAATAAAGACTCATAAAATACTGGTATCAGAAAATAATTCTAGGAAATATAAAATATTAAAAATTTTTAAAGATGGTCTTCACAAAAGTACTCCTTTTGAGGCTCACATTATCCAATAGCTTTCCTGTGCTAGATCATAAGTAACCAACTGCAATATTCTTCCTAAGTTTTTGATACAAGTTCATGTTCTTCCACCCCAGTACTTGCCATATGAACAGCTACAGAATGTACAGAAAGGAAACATACAAATTCTAATTTTACCATTCCTTGAATTTTTTTTAATGTTTATTTACTTTTGAGAGAGACAAAACAGTGCAGGAGAGGGACAGAGAAAGAGAGGGGTCAGAGGATCCAAAGCGGGCTTTGTGCGGACAGCGGCAAGCCCAAGGTGGGACCTGAACTCACGAACGGTGAGATCATGACCTGAGCCAAATTCAGACACTCAACTAACTGAGCCATCCAGCCACTCCACCATTCCTTGAAATCTTATGGGTGTCAGGACATTTTCCCCAAAGCAAAGAGAACACAAGTACTGCTTTGTTTTGTTTCCACAAGTCAAAAAGTTCTTTGCATTAAAGGAATGGCAATTAGGGGCACCTGGGTGGCTCAATCAGTTAAGCGTCCATCTTCGGCTCAGGTCATGATCTCACAGTTCGTGGCTTCAAGCCCCGCGTCAGGCTCTGTGCTGACAGCTCAGAGCCTAGAGCCTGCTTCAGATTCTGTGTCTCCCTCTCTTTCTGACCTTCCCCTGCTCACGATCTCTCTCTCTCTCTTTCAGAAATAAATAAAATATTAAAAAAAACATTTAAAGGAATGGCAATTAAGTGTTCATTTATGGCTCCCTTAATGGATCTGTACTAAAGGAGCTGTAACTTAATAATTCAACATCTATCTTCTTTCCCTTTTAATGAGGTATGATGGGGAAGAGATGGACAAGCAGTGCTCTGAAATAATTTTTGACATCCAAAAGAAAATAACAATTGCCATGTTCTTCCTAGTTGAGTCTGATATCTAAACCATTCTATACAAATAAAAAAATATAACAGTTAACACGTACCTGAGCTGGTGAACTGCCAATATTCTCAGATTCAGTATTAACAACAACACTTGGAGATGGAAGCAGATCAGAGGACTCTTGGGTTTTTTTCTGGCTTTCATTGAGTGGATTTGATCTTTTCAAATTCTGTCTTAGAGTAGGTATAAAAGGCTTTAGGCGTTTCTTATTATAAACATGAGTAGGTTCATCAGAGTCCAAACTATTCTTGGAACATATTAAAGACAAAAATCCCAGGGGTCTTCTGCCAGGTCTAGAAATGCAAATGTAAACATATTCAAGAATATCCAGGAAGATACATTCTTAATACCAATTTCTATTAATGCTAAAATGACACCCGTGATATACCACCTTAGTGGTATCAGCACATCTACTAAGTATCATTATTATTCTGATCATTATTTATTCCATCATACCAGGAGCTGCCTATGCAGATTTTCTACCTAAAAAGTTAGTTTCAGCATTTAGAGGTAAGCTCTTGTTATACAGAATATTTTATCTTAAGAGTTCTACAAAAATGTTGACATTACTGAATTTCCTTTGACAAAACTCCTCCCCTTTACATGACTGACAGAGGAATGTGTTTATACAACATCATCCCAAGTACGGGACTTAGTCTTTACATATATATCTGCTGTGTAGAGGTTACGTTTATCCTTGGAGAGACAGAAATGGCAGGGAGGATTTATTAAAGATCTTCTTACAGTACCTGGACAATGGGGTTTTTGAAGCTGCTGTGATGCTATCCATTTGCTCAGGCTTCGAAGATCCCTCTTCCTTATCAGAGACAATCATCTCATTCTGAGGTAACTGAGGTGTACTCGTTTCTGTATGTGTATCTGCTCTTTCATCAAGAGACTGAGACTCTACACTCAGCAAAGTTGGTTCAAGTTCCTCGTTCTGAGGTTCTGGAGTTGTATGTGTGCTTCCTGAGGTAGGGAAGGTATCTTGTCCCTTGTAAGACTCCCCTTCAAAAAATCAAAGACAAATGGTAAGCATCCATACTGAAATTTATATATCCAGTTGAACTGCAATATTTGAAGGAAAAAAAATCAGAACATTCATTCTATCATAAACTACCCTAATAAGAGTAAACTAAATTATAAATTCATATATAAGTTATCAGGACTATTAAGAACATTGTAACTGGTATAAAGCTATGGTAATAGTTTCTGTATTCAGATACAAAATAGTCATAGCAACATATTTTGACCTAGAAAATCTCTGTCTCTCTCTATATATATATGTCTTTTCTAATCTCCGGGTAAACCTGTGGAACTATAAAAACTCCATTAGGCTTAGCTTTCTAATTCCTGAAATATAGTTGTTGCTTTTACAAGAAATCCTGTCGCCATACGGTTTTCTATTCATTACAGGATGAAAGTAGCTTCTTGTGGCTACGCAAGTGCCAAATCCAAGATCTTGGCTGAGAAGAAAAACTTCTAATAATAAAAGGAAGACACTTAGAGAAAGTGAGCAAGACTCTTCTTCAATTCCAAATTTGAATAGATGCATCAAAAATATCCAAAAATAACAAAACGTAATCACATTAAAATTATTTCACTCACCTGTTTCCTCAACATTTATTTCCTTTGAACGCTCCTGTTTTAAAAAAAAAAATTACAAAAAAATTAAAAATCCATTCATCAAGTCAATCTTTCCTTTCTTTATAAATGTTTATTTTGAGACAAGAGAGAGTGTACAAATGGCAGAGAGGCAGAGAGAGAAGGAAAAAGAGAATCCCAAGCAGGCTCTGCACCTTCAGCACAGAGCCCAACATGGGGCTCGATCTCACCAACCCTGAGATCAAGATCTGAGCCAAAATTAAGAGTCAGAAGCTTAATCACCCATGCACGCTCCCCATCCCCTTTTCTAACTAAAGAAAGCATATATCTCTCAGAAAGCTCTAGGGTAAAAGATGTCTTATGGAAACTCTACCACACATTTATGAAAAAAACATTGCTCTTGTTATTTAAACTGTTCTAGAGAACAGTAAAAGAGGGAAAGTTTCCAAATGCTTTTTATAAATCAAGGTTAATACTGATTCAAATTCACCAGTACAAAAATATCAAATGAAATAGTATAAGCATTATTCAACAACATATCAAGATTAACATAATAATCAAGCAGTTTGTTTCAGGAATGCAAAGATGATTCAATATAGGAAATCGAATATAACTCAACAGAACTGAGGAGAAAAATAGTATCATCATCTCTCTGTTTGTGGGGAAAGTGTCCATTAGTGCTTATGCTTGGAAAAAACTTTATATTGAATAAAAAGACATTTTCTTAACACCATAAACTATAATTACTACATTCAAAAACCAGCATCTCAATCCATAAACAATGGAAATATTCCCATTTAAGTCAGGAATAAGAAAAATATATCTACTATCAGGACTATTTTCTGACTTTTTGTTTTCAAATTATACTAGCCAATATAGTCAGAAAAGAGAAGAATAAATGCTGACAAAAACTGAGGACTGATGGATGTGGGGGGGAGGGGGGGTGGGCATGGAGGAGGGCACTTCGGGGATGAGCACTGAGTGTTATGTGGAAACTAATTTGACAATAAACTATTTAAAAAAAAAAAAGAAAGAAAAGAGAAGAATATTAAAGGTATACAAAGATGAGAAGAATTAAAATTTTATTTGCAGATTATATGACTTTCCTTAGAAAACCCAAAAGAATCAATAGAAAAATTACTGTATGTGTTGAAGGGAATTAATAAGTTCTCCAGATATAAAAGAATTCAATGATAAGAGCAACAAAAGATAAAATTCTTAGGGATAACCTCATAAGAAATGGAGAATTTATTTTTTTTTATTTTTTATTTTTTTTTAATATTTTTATTTATTTCTAGGAGAGAGAGAGACAGCGTGAGCAGGGGAGGGTCAGAGAGAGAGGGAGTCACAGACTGAAACAGGCTCCAGGCTCTGAGCTGGCAGTCAGCACAGAGCCCGATGCGGGGCTCGAACCCACGAACCATGAGATCATGACCTAAGCGAAAG